AGTTTTCTGTACCGTCTAATTAGATTACCTCTTTCTGTTTTGGGAATGTGCTGCCGTATTGAATCAATTATATCTCCATTGAACAAATTTCCCACACTCCTTGAAAATCCTTAAAAACTCCTTGAATTTTATTTGCCTTACTCAGAGCCCTGGAAAAGTACTCGATTTTTCGTTGGGTCCTTGACAAATAAGCAAAATGTCCATTTATTATTTTTTGGGACAGAAGAAAAAACCAGTTTACTTGGTTTGTCTTCAGAATTCCACCACCAGATAAAGGGTGTTTGTTAGGGAATGTTCTCAATCATCAATCTTTTCTGTCTTTGTATATTCAAAGGCATCTTAATTTGATAATACAGTAAGAAGCTACAGAGGGTATTTCTCTGCCAAATAAAATAGTCCTATAATTATCCTTATGTATTTTGAAAGTAGCTGATATGTTTGAAACAGTTTTCTCTGCAATGAAATCTGTTTTCAAAATGTTATTTAATTTCATAGAGCCAGGGAAGTAACTTAAATATCTAGATGGATAAAATTTGGTACACAGTTTCATCTTTAGAATTGTTGATCCGAATCAAATTTATTTCAAAAGTAGAAATGCAAATGATTAATTTGATTTAAATTTATCATTTTCATTTTTATGTTTTAAATATGTAATTTTATGGACCTTGAATTTTTTTCCTCAATAGGGGTGGGAATTCTGTAGAACACTTGATATGTTAACGGAATGCAAGTCGCTTTCGTATCGAATTATAACGTCTATGAATAACTTAAATTTTTTTAAAAAACTGTGTTAATGGCTTAATTCGGTGCACGAACTGAGCTCGGACATCGTTGTTAAGGGGTTAATAATCAACAGATGCCATCTGTTGTACTCGTACTGTACTTGCAAGTTCTTAGCTGGCAACATATCTGGGTATCAATGAATGAAAATTTTTAATTAATAAATCTGGATGAAATGAAGAATTTTAAACATAAAGTATTTTTAACTTTTTTTCAATACTTAATTTTTTTTTTACTAACAAATAATTCTAATTTGTGTTGGAGGGTTGATTTTTGTTTCTGCCAGTCTTTTTCTTTTGAATATTTCTGAACAGTTTAACTTGGTTCACCTTAACAGATAGTGTGTATTAAAATCAAACTTCATAAATATGGTGTTGGAACTTCCATAATTCAAGCTAA